CACCCCACCCCACCGCATCCCATCCCACCGCATCCCACTGCTTCGCACCCCACCCCACCCCTCCGGGGAGGCTGACCCCTCTCCTAACTTAAAGAGGAGCATGCACCTCCCGAGGGCCACATGCTGCAGAGGCCTGGCTGGGGAAGAAGGCCACAGGGAGTTGATTTTTTTTTTTTTTTTTTTGGCCAGTACCTTTGTGCTGGTCTTGCTGCCTGGTTTTGGAATGGCGGACAGGGAAACAGAAAGTCCAAGAGAAGGCCTCACCGCTGCCGTACAGGGGAAACACTCCAGGGCTTGGGGCAGCTAGGTGATCCAGCGTGGTTCTGTCTGGAAGGAGCTGAGTTTCAGCTCGGGAGGGGTGGGTTTCTTCCTCGCAGACTGTGGGTACTGTCCGCCCTGAAACCCCATCCAGCGACGCGTGTTCCAGAATGCTTTGCTCTTTCCTCACCTCCATCCCGAGTTCAGAAGGAAAATTATTAAGTATTGAGGGTATTTTTTTTTTTTAAAGTTTAAAGGTGTCCCCAGAATCCTGTGGCAACTGAGGGTTCAGGTGTGAGCAGTACAGGGTGAAGCCTGTTGAGGGTGGTGGGGGTCTCCTGACTTCCCTCTGACCCAGCCACTGGAAGCTGTCTTGGGTACTCCCGGGGAGAAAGGCTAACAGCAGGGCACAGGCAGAGCAAGCAGGTATTCAGGGTTCATCTAGGAGGCTGGGAGAAGACAGCCACCCCCAGCTGAGACACCCAGCTCAGCAGAAAGGCAAGGCCTGCCTCTAGTGTCTGGACCTGGAAATCTGCTCTAACCCCCCACCATCATGGTCCCTAGAAGCCATCCTGACCCACAGTTCAGTCTGTTAAAGCTGAGTACAAGGACGTATCTAAAGCTGAGATGTGTCCCGGAGTAGAGGGCACTGAGGGCAGTGGGTATCTTGCACTCCCCCGCAGGGAGGACTTTGTGGGACGCAAGCAAGCTGGAGCATTGCCCAGACCCGAGCCTGCTGAGACTGGCTTTGTTGGTTTTCCCAGGGTCCCATCCTTCTCTTATCTAGTTAGTGTGGCTATCTTATCCCCAGCTGCCTCCTCGATGATCTGCCCCGTGTCCCCGACCTTGCCATTTTTAACTGCCACGACTTGAAACCCAGTGCTGTGTGTGGGCTCTGCTTGTCCTGTAGTCTGAGCTAACCATGCGCCCCACTCTGCCTTTTTCCCAGGAACTTCATTGTTACGGGCTTACAGGACATAGATAAGTGCAGGCAGCAGCTGCATGACATCACGGTGCCTCTAGAAGTCTTTGAGTGAGTATCACTGGGATCTCGGTTGGCTCTGAATCTGGGTTCGCTGTGCGGCGTGTCAGTGAGCGTGAGGGAGGCATGGCCCAGGTGCTGCGGAACTGCCTCTGAGCAAAGCAGACAGGAATGCCTGTCTTCATGGAATGTAGTGGACTGGTGGGGCTCAAAAATGGGTGAGTGTCACTCCAGGGTTGTGTTGTTGACTGGTCACATGAAAATGAGAAATCAAAAGCTTGTTAAATATATAAAAAAGCAGGTTTCTGAGTTCAGTGGAGAACAGCCTCAGGCCAGAGAAAAACCTCATAATTCATTAAGTAAAGAGCTGTAGCTGGATGTGGTGGCCCACGACTTGATCCCAGTACTTAGGAGGTAGAGGCAGGTGGTTTTGATTCCAGCACTTAGGAGGTAGAGGCAGGTGGTTTTGATCCCAGCACTTAGGAGGTAGAGGCAGGTGGTTCTCGATGAGTTTGAGACCATCCTGGTCTACAGAGAGTCCCAGGACAGCCAGGGATACACAGAGAAACCCTGTCGTGAAAACAAAAACAAGAGTTGCATGTGAGCTGTAATACAAAATAAAAAAATATACACACAGACATCTGGGAAAACAACTTGGTCTGGTGTTTGAGAAGGTTCCTGTGGTGAACTGGGCCAGGGCGGTGGTCCCTCCACTGCTGGGAGGAAGCAGACCTCAGTCCAGTCTTTCTACCAGAGTCCTGTGGACGCGTCAGAGCAGTGGCTGGGGAGAGTGGCCTGCAAACTGAAGGTGCAGGTGCCTTCAGCGTGTTTCCCCATGGGCTGTGCACGCACTGGGAGGAATACAGGCTCCCGTGACTGGCCAGCACACGGCCGGTCCGGAGCAAGGATAGGATAACCTCTCAGCACTTCATCCCAGTGTTGGGCTTTGCATCCACAGTGGTCGGCTTCAACTTTTCAGTCTTAGAAAACGGCAACCTCCCCAGGCTGTGGAGGAGCCACGTGCTTACTTAACCCACATGAATGGTGTGCCTTGTATGCTCTTCTGTTGTTTGAAACACTTTTACTAGAAGTTACCAGAATCTGCTGCTTTTATTACATTATTACAAATACACCAAACTGAAAAGAAAACTCTAGAAATTGGTATTTTTTCTGTTTGTCATAAAGGTGTGGTGGTAGTCTTTCTCTATAATGCATAATGCAGCTGAATGATTCAGATTTATCCATTGTATAGAAATAGCCAGGTAGTCCGTCCTTGGTAAAATCTGGATATTGTGGGCAGTGGGTTTCATGTCATCAGGATATGTTGGAGTTTTGGCTTAACATGTTGACACTGTCGGGATAATTGTATTGTCTTGGAATAACTGGAGAGAAGCAGCCTGTTGCATTAGGTCACTGGAGTGTGTACAGTAAGGTAGTGCATTGAGAAGACCCTCTCCCACCGTGTCCTGCCTGTGGCTCCCCAGCTGCTCCCTTTAGCTTCCACACGCAGCATGTCCTGAGCAATCAGGCCGGTCTGGAGTGGACTCCACATCCCAGCTGTGCCTGTCACAGGCCTGAGCTCAGCTAACTTGAAGAGCTTCTTTATCATACAGCTGAGGATCCAGAAGGTAGCAGCGTATGCGCTTGTTTGTTTTTATGCAGAGGCACTGTGAGTGCTGAGTCTGAACAGATGTAAAGGGGTAGAGCTTGTGATGCTTTCTGGGGTTCACAGTGAGCATTACTTGATGCATGAACTGCTAGAAATAGCGGTGCTTGCTTGGTAAGTTTGAGAATTTCAAAGAGCCTGGTTCCTAGACTGGCCCCGTGAAGGTGTGTCTGCTGGCGGCTTTTTGTTTTGTTTTTGTTTTTGTCTTAGTTTCTAGAAACCTGAGATTAGTTGAGTTGGCCGTGACTGAGATGTTGTTGTTTGCAGATACATCGATCAAGGTCGGAATCCCCAGCTCTACACCAAAGAGTGCCTGGAGAGGGCTCTGGCTAAAAATGAGCAAGTTAAGGGGAAGATTGACACCATGAAGGTAAGACAGCCCGCCTGTCGTGTCAGCGTGCACACCTTCGAGAGCACACAATGGGCATGCAAGCGTGGCTGACGGACTCTTGTGACTGCCCCCCAGCAGGGTTTCAACATGTGTAATAGTTGTCCTGTGACAAACAGGAGAACAGATAGGCAGCCTTACACTTTGTCTGGTGATGTCCCTGGCCGGCAGGGCTTTCAGTGTGGCCCTCCGGTTTGACTTCCCTTGGGTGACATCTAATTCAGTGCGCCTGGTACGATTCTGTGTTGACCCTGACTCGAGGCCTCTTCTGTGCCAATGGGCTGCAGTTGGAGGGTTCTGGAAGGTTTGTGCTGTCGCTGGGGTCTGACCTCCAGACCCCTGGAAGCTCCCATGTCACTTCACACAGAGAGCTTGGAGATTTAGGGAGCTGTGTCCTGAACATGAACTACAGTTGTCCCTCTTAGGTCACTGAAATGTGCTTCAGGTGGTGCTTGGTTTTCTCTTTTTGGACCTTACTGGCCTGGGTGGATGCGGCGTGTGTGGCCTGCAGAGAGAGCACTGTGTACTCCCGTGTCTTCTGGGCTCCCTGCTAGCACCCAGGCCCTGGCTTGTGTTCTCTTCTCCTCGTGAGCCTTGCTTCCTTTGAGAGGCTCCCAGGGTGTCTTTCCCCAGGTGCTGGGCGGGTGCCCGGTTTCCTTTCTCCACCCACTGTCCCCTCTGCCTGCTGTTGAAGCCCCGCCATTGTCTGCCCCTGCGCCGCCCACTCCCGGCTGCTGTCGGCAGGCACACGTGTGCTGCCTGTGTCTGCTGCGCACGGGCTGCACAGAGCGGGTCTGCGGCTCAGGAGTGAGGATGGGTTCCCTCAGATGACACGCCACTGCAGAAGTGGGAGTGGTCCGCTTAGCATTGAGCCCATACGTCATCTCTCCCGTCAGCTTGGGTTGGGGACTTCCTGGACGCCTACCAGAAGCCCCCTGTGGACTGACTGACCCTTGGGACTGAGGCTTCCGGTCCCACCGGCATCTTAGGCTCGTTGCCTTGGCCTGTGCTGGAGTGCACTGCCCACTGATGGGTGCCCGGGTGGTTAATCTTCCTCGTGCACCTGTGGCATTGGTGTCATGTCTCACCTGAGAGCTATGACAGTCTCAAGGCACACTTTGGCAGCCTGCGTGTCCGCAGTGGGCGCGGGTTAAAACATGGGAAGACGGTTTGCAGTTGTAGTGAAGCAGCATGTGGCTTCCTGACTGGCCTGTGGCCCCTAAGAGTAGAGGCTGGGGTGCAGGCACATGGGTCAGCTGCTAAGACTCGGGTAGGACAGAGGTTAGGGGTGAGTGACTGGAGAACTGTGGTGTTGGCAGGAGATGATGTCTTTGCTCAGCTTGGGGAAGCTTCGGGAGGTCTTTGCACACGTGACCTTGGTGTGATTCCAGTGAGTAACTGTTGCAGTGAGTGTTACTTAAAATTGTAGTGTGAGTGTGGCCTGCAGAAGTCATCTCCACTGTGGGGGGGAGCCCCTGGCTGGAGGGAAGTTGTCTTAAAGGTATAGTCCTCTCAGAGAGCTGGTGTCCCTGTACCACCTTAACTGCAGACACTCGTGTGATTGGCTCCATCCCTTTGGGTGGCCCAGTTGTTGGGATTTTGGCCTCCTTGGAGGGGTGGGGATGCTGTCTATGTCTTGGATTTTTTTTGACACAGCTATTTTTGTTTGTAGAAATTTAAAAGCCTGCTGATTCAGGAACTTTCTAAAGTGTTTCCAGAAGACATGGCCAAGTACCGGAGCATTCGGGGGGAAGATCACCCACCTTCCTAAGTGTGTGAAGACCCCCCATACCCCTGTAATTGCCGGACGACCCAGTGAGAAGCTGTGCCTGCCGATGCTGCCTTCCAGCCACGTGAACTGGCCTCGCCCTCCTCCTGCGCCCATCATTGACCTGTGCGCCTCAGGGCTGGAGGACTAGAGCTGTCCCAGCTGTCCTCAGCTTGTCCCTCGGTGGCCCCGTCTTTCTTAGGGAAAACAGGCAGGAAGACAGCCTTGCTGAAATGTGAAGTGTGATTGGGATTCTACTTGACACTTTCTTTTTATGTACTCCGTTCTGTTACAGTATCCTAAGACAAAACTGGGTTTTATATTTTACATTTTCAGATATGGTGCATAAGAACGTAACTGTTTTCATGAGTTTCAACTAAACATAATAAAGTCTTAAGTTTTACATGACTCATTCCATGTAATTATTTCTGTAGCATTTTTACAAGGTAGAATAGTCCATTGTTAATTCCCTCAAGTGTTATAATATTCGTGTTTTCTTCAGGCATATAGGTAGGAAAAGCTACATCCAGCTGAGCTCCCTTTCCACCGTCTCTTGTTTACAGGCGTGTGCTAAAGAACACAGACTGCTCACAGCACTGGAAACGCAGCAGGGCGGTGCTCCTCACCTGTGGTGTGGATGGAGTCCCCAGGGCGGTGCTCCTCACCTGTAGTGTGGAT